TATATTATATATATATATATATATATATATATATATATATATAATTTCAAATAATTCGGAAATATACATAAAGGTATTACACTGAAGTATTTATCATACTTTTCAAATACATATAACATATTCGCGATTCCAGGTTTTTTAAGAATCGTAAAATTCAAATTCGCAGATTTTACACATTATACATCTTCTTATGCTTTCTCAAAATGATGTTTTTTTTCTATGTTACTTCTGTTCCTTTTTTTCCTTTGTTAGTGGTGTCATTTTCGTTATCATCGCTGTTGTTTACTTCATCTGATAAGCTATTTGATTGGGAACAGCGACAGAAATAAGAACAGAGCCAAAGGTATTTTTTTCCTATTTCTATGAAGAAATAGATCCAGATATTCTTCAGAAGAGAGAATGCATATCTGAGGAAATTATATCAAGATTCCGACTGCTCTGGAGTTGTTCAGGAATGGTGTTGTAGCTTCTGCATTACCAACAGACCTTTCTCTTATTTTTCCTCTCCATTTCTCTCTTTTCTTTCCCTCTCTCTCTCTCTCTCTCTCTCTCTCTCTCTCTCTCTCTCTCTCTCTCTCTCTCTCTCTCTCTCTCTCTATCTCTATCTCTGTGTGTGTGTGTGTGTGTGTGTGTGTGTACACACGCACATACACACACACACACATACACACACACACACACAAACACACATATATGTGTGTGTGTGTGTATACATGTATATATATATATATATATATGTATGTGTGTGTGTGTGTGTGTGTGTGTGTGTGTGTGTAGTGTGTGTGTGTGTGTGTGTGTGTGTGTGTGTGTGTATTATAAATATATGCACGTGTGTATATACATATGTGTATGTATATCTATATATAAATATATATATTATATATATTTATGTTTATATGTATATATGTATATTATATATGTACATTATATATATATATATATATATATATATATATATATATATATATATATATATATATATGTATGTATATTGTAGCAACACGACCCCGGAACCTGAAGCTCAGCACATTTGCTAGGTTGGGTCACATCAGGTCCTCGCTCATTGGATCGCAGGTTCCCTTCGTTCCCTGCGTGCTTACAGCCTTAAACCGCAGAATCCAGAACCGAGATGACCGGGCCATGGCTAAAAGGCCCGGGTGAAGCTAGAACTTCGCAAACTTCAATTGTATTGTAGAACCGAGATCTGTCCTGCCACAGGAACCGCCTTGAAAGGTACAGTTCCTCTCCTCTCTCATTGTGGTGAAACAGCCTTTGGTTGGCTGTTTCAGAGGAATGGTGCTCACACTGGTCCATGGGTGCCGTTACAATGGTTATTGACTGCGTAAATCCTCTCACTACCCCTGTAGCCTTGAACAAGACCACAAGCTCTTTGCAAACAACTCCTGGCTGCCTCCCATAGCCAGGGTGTTGATACGCTATCAGGTCAAAGAATAGCTACAAGGGGATGGACTGTGCCCCGCCGTGGGCACAAACCTTGACAGAGTTCTCTGTTATGAGCCTGTCAAGGAGAAAGAATCAATACCCCATGCCTAGTCTAAAGGCAGAAGCCGAGAGGGTCATTGCAGCCATCACTCCTCCGGGTAGTAGAACATGCTTCACGGATGGATCAGGCAATCCCTTGAGCCACACTGCAGGCGCCGGCTTTGCAGGAAGGAATGCCACAAAAGCCATGAGGGTAACAGACAAAGCCTCCTCGCTACAGGCAGAGGCAGTTGCAATCATGGGAGCCCTATTCCACGCGTCCCTGAGGGAAGGAAACGTGGTCATAAATACAGACTCCAGGGCACCCATCGAGTGTCTTCAACACAGCTCACTCAAAGACAACATCTACCTCCTGATCACTGTGCTTACCATAGGCAGAGAATTCCTGCTCGGGATAGAAGAATAATCATTAATTGAGTCCCCAGCCACATTGGCATCAGAGGGAACGAGTTTGCTGACAGATTACCCGACATTGGCAGACATTGACAAATCCAATGATTATACAACCAAGCCGAAAAATCAAATGAGGTAAAGAAGTCATTCTTCACAGAATTAGACCAGGTTACCATTGTGCATGGTAGATCATAGAGACAATAAACCGTGAACAGAAATGTATGCATTGTGGCAAGCCGAACGCTACCCAAGTACACTACTTGTAGAATTGTGAGCACAAACAATTCCTGAGACAGGGACCGCCCACAACAGCCGCCGTGCTGGTAAAGAGATTATGCGGTATGCTTACATCATAGCGGCAGGAGCGCCTGCTGGCAATCCCGCCACCACGGTCAGCACTGAGTGTCAGAGAACAAAAGCAAAACTAGATTTATTGAAAGTGAGACTACAGTTTCGAAATCCACCTGGATTCCATATTCAGGACGGACCTGCGGATGGAATCCAGGTGGATATCGAAACTATAATCTCACTTTCAATAAATCTAGTTTTGCATCGTGAGTTTCTCTACCACACACACACACATACATATACATACACACACACA